TAAAGCTAAGATTGCTTTTCCAATTAAATGAATTAGTAGGTGGCCAGCTGTAAGGCTGCCAGTCATATGGCTAAGACTATTGGATGAATAAATACGCTGATGCTTTTAAGAATTACTAATATATGAATAAGTGGGATACGTGTCTCTTGTACAGGAAATGGGCTAAAGATGCTTTTGTTTTCTGGCAGAAACGGATATTCCCCTGTGTAGTAGGTATAAATGAATGTGGTAAATGGCCTAGTAGATTTTGTGAGTCAATAAGTGAGATAAGTGATATGAGTATTAGGGATCAGGCTTGTTCTTTTTAATTGTGAAGGGCCCCTATTTGTTTTGATGTAAGTTGAATTAGTCATTGTTGGATAGAAATTAAGTGGTTATTAGTTAGGTGTGGGAAATAAAATGCTTCGAAATAGAATAACAATAGGTAATCTGATTGTTGGGGTAGCGAAAGAAGAAAATAAAGTTCATTTTATTTCCTAGGGGGTATACTGTTTTGAAATTTTAATTGTTTTTAGTTCTGGAGTTGAAGGATAAGAATGTTTTGAAATTTTTAATCAAAATTTAATGAATAGTACTATAATTATTGATATAATAGTAATAAATTATTAGCAAAACTAGTCAGTTTCCAAATCCTCCGATTCCAATAGGTTTAACTATAAATTATTACAAATGCATAAACAGTTATAACTACATTGTAGGTTTGATCATCTCCAAGGAAAGTTCCAGGGTAACCTAGGCCAGCATGGATTAAAGGCTAAGGCAGTACCTACTATCCTGGCTCAGACATCAAATAACAGATATAAAGTGCTGATATCTTTATGGTTTATTGAGAAGAATCAGCAGTTTATGAACATAGGTAAAATGGCTGAGCAAGATTTAGACTAAATCTAAAGACGGGGGTTGAGCTCTCCTTTTGCCAAGCCCTGCAGTAACTAACATATTAAATTACAAATTCAAAGAAGTAGCTTCAGTTTTGCTGGGGCTTCCCCTGCCTTTCTTCCCTAAACTGAGGGAAAAATAGATTGACGGCAGTTGACTAGGGAATTTAACTCTAAAATTTTGTGGGATGAAAGCCCTCCAATATAGGAAGGATTTAGCTTAATAAAAGTGTTTAATTTACATTCAGTGGATGTAGGATAAAGTCTTGCAATGTCTATCTTCAGGAATTAAGTAAATAACACTTGTTAAGGGCTTAGAAGGCTCTTGCTCTGTGATAACCTAAATTCCTAGTCCAGTACTGATATTCGTGTTAGAGGATGAAGTAATGTTAATATTATGATTAGTGGTGGTAAAGGTATTATTCATTTCGTGTTTTCCAATTGTCATTTTCATGTTATTTATTGATGATAATATGGTTATCGTATGTAGAAAGAGATTAAGTAGCACTATGATGGCTATAATGGTAAAATAATTTTAATTTCTCTTTTTTCTGACTTTATTGAGATATAATTGACATATATCACTCTATAAGTTTAAGGTATACAGCATAATGGTTTGACTTACATATATTGTGAAATGGTTACCACAATGAGTTTAGTTAGCATCCATCATCTCATACAGCTACAATAAAAAAGGCAAAAAAAGAAAAATTTTTTCCTTGAGATAAGAATTAAGGTTTACTTTCTTAACAACTTTCCTGCATATCATACATCAGTGTTAACTACAGTCATTGCATGTAATGCTGTGCATTACACATCCCTAGTAATTATGTATCCTGTAACTGGAAGCTGGTACTTTCTGACCACCTTCCTCTAATTCCTCATCCCTCTACCTCCCGCCTCTGGTAACCACAAATCTGATCTCTTTTTCTATGAGTCTGGTGTTTGTTTGTTTAGATTCCACATATAAATGATATCATACAGTATTTGTCTTTCTCTATCCAACTTATTTCATTTAGCATAAATGCCTTCGAGGTTCATTCATGTTGTTGCAAATGGCAAGATTTCCTCATTTTTTATGGCTGAATAATATTCCATTATTTATAATGGCATATTATTTATATATAATAGAATATTATATAATAGAATATTATTTATATAATGGAATATTACATACAAAATGGAATATTATCTATACACATATGATGGAATGTATAAAGAATTTGTATATATATACCACAGCTTCATTCATTCATCAATGGACACTTCTTTCCATGTCTTGGCTATTTAAATAATGTTGCTATGAAAGTGGGGGTGCAGATATCTTTTCAAGTTAGTGTTTTTGTTTCCTTCGGATATATTCCCAGAAGTAGAATTGCTGGATCATATGCTGGTTCTATTTTTAACTTTTTGAGTATCCTCTGTACTGTTCTCCATAGTGACCGTACCAGTTTGCAATCTCACCAACAGTACAAAACAGTTCCTTTTTCTCCTCATCCTCACCAGCATTTGTTATCTCATCTTTTTATGATAGCCATCCTAACAGGCATGAGGTAATATCTCACTGTGGCTTTAATTTGCATTTCCCTAATGACTAGTGATGTTGAGTATCTTTTGTGTATCTGTTGTATATCTGTTGGCTTTTTATATATTTTCTTTAGAAAAATGTCTATTCAGGTTTTTTGCCCATTACAGTCGTCCTGAGGGACACTGGTTCCAGGACCCCCTCAGATACCAAAATCCACAGGTGCTTGAGCCCCTATATAAAATGGTGTAGTATTTGCATATAATTTATGCCCAACTTCCCATATACTTTAAATCATCTCTAGATTATAATACCGAGCACAATATAAACCCTATATAAATAGATTGTATCATTTAGGGAACAATTGCAAGAAAAAAACTATATGTTCAGTAGAGGTGCAACCATGGTAAACATAACTACATAGTACTTGTCAGCAACAGTGTAACATTGTTTTTCAAATATTTTCAGTCTGTAATTAGTTGAATCCACAGATGCAGAACCTACAGATACAAAAGCCCAACTATATTTGCTTTTTTGTCACTGAGTTGTGTGAGTTCTTTATATATTTTGGATATTAATCCTTTATCATACATATGGTTTGCAAATATTTTTCCATTTTGCAGGTTATCTTTTCACTTATTGATTGTTGCTTTACCGTGCAGAAGCCTTTTAGTTTGATGTAAACCCACTTATTTTTGACTTTGTTGCCTTGCTTAGGTGTCATATCCAAAAAATCATTGCCAAGACCTATATCAAAGAGTGTCCTGTGTTATCTTCTATGACTTTCATGGTTTCAGGCCTTATGCTTAAGTTTTTATCATTCTGAGTTTTTGTGAATGGTGTAAAATAGGAGTCTAGTTTCATTTTTTGTATGTGAATATCCAGTATTCCCAGCACCATTTATTGAATAGATTATCTTTTCTCCATTGAGTATTCTTGGCTCCCTGGTCAAATATTACTTGATCGTGTTGGCTTGAGTTTATTTCTGGGCACTTGATACTGTTTCGTTGATCTATTTGTCTGTTTTTATGCAAGTACCATATTGCTTTGATTAACATAGCTTTACAGTATAGCTTGAAATCAGGAAGTGTGATGCCTTTCACTTTGTTCTTCCTCAGGATTGTTTTGGCTATTAGGAGTCTTTTGTAGTTCCATATAAATTTTAAGATTGTTTTCCCTACTTCTACAAAAATGCCATTGGAATCTTGTTAGGAATTGTATTGAATCTATAGGTGACTTTTGCTAGTATGGACATTTTAAGAATATTAATTTTTCTAATCCATGAACTCAGAATACCTTTCCATCTATATGTATCTTCAATTTCTTTCATCAATGTCTTGTTTTCAGAATAGAGATTGTTCACCACTTTGGTTAAGCTTATTTCTATTTTATTTATTTAGTTTTTGATGCTACTGTAAACAAAATCATTTTCTTTTTCAGATAATTTGTTAATGTATAGAAATGCTACTGATTTTTGCATGTTAATTTTGTATACTGTAACTTTACTGAATTTGTTTATTAGATCTAACTATTTATTGGTGGAGTCTATGATTATCTATAAAATCATGTCACCTACAAATAGAGACAACTTTACTTCTTTCTGATTTAGATGCCTTTTATTTCCTTTTTTTCTTTTTCTTTTTTTTTTTTGCCTAATTGTTCTTGCAAGGGTTTCCAATATTATGTTAAATGGTCTGGTTAGAGTAGGCACCCTTTTCTTGTTCCTGATCTTAGAGGAAAAGCATTTAACCTTTCACCATTGAGTATAATTTTAGCTGTGGGGTTATCATATATGGCCTTTATTAGGTTGAGGTACATTCTTTATATAGCCAATTTGTTAAGGTTTTATTATGAACAGATGTTGAATTTTGTCAAGTGATTTTCCTTTATCTATTGAGATATGATTATTTTCTTTCTATAAATATTATGTATCACATTGATTGATTTGCATGTGTTAAACTGTTCTTGCGTCCTAGGTATAAATCTCACTTGACCATGGTGAATAATTCTTTTAATGTGCTGCTGAATTTTGTTTGCTAGTATTTTATTGAGAATTTTCGCATCCACATTTATCAGAGTTATTGGTCTGTAGTTTTCTCTTCTGGTAGTGTCCTTTTCTGGCCTTGGCATCAGGATTGTTCCCTCCTCTTTAATTTTTTTGGAAATGTTTGAGAAGAATTGGCATTAATTCTTTAATTGTTTGGTAAAATTCACTAGTGAAGCCACCAGATCCTGGGTTTTTCTTCATTGGGAGATTTTGATTATTGAGTCAATGTTCCAATTGGTCTATTCAGACTTCGCAGATCTTTCTGATTCATTCTTGGTAGTTTGTATGTTTCTAAGAATTTTCCCATTTTTTAGGTTGTCCAGTTTGTTGGCATACAGTTGTTCATAATAGCCTCTTATGATTTCCCAAGAATTAACTCTTAATTTGGTTAATCTTTTGTGTTCTGTTCCCAAATTCATTTATTCCTGGTCTACTCTTTACTAATTCCTTTCTTCTGCTAACTTAGGGCTCAGTTTGTTCTTCTTCTAATTTCTTATGTACAGAGTTGGGTTGTTTATTTGAGATGTTTCCTGCTTTTTTTTTTTTTTTAAGCCTACAGCACCTGGTATTCCCAGGTGGTCTCCCATCCAAGTACTAAGTAGGCCCGACCCTGCTTAACTTCCGAGATCAGATGGGATCAGGTGCATTCAGGGTGGTATGGCTGTAGACTCCTGCTTCTTAATATAAGTCTTTATTGCTATGAACTACCCTCTTAAAACTGCTTTTCATATATCTCATAAGTTTTGATATGCTGTATTTCAATTTTCATTTGCCTTAAGATACTTTTTATCACCCATTTAATTTCTTCTTTGATCCATTGGTTGTTTAGGAGAGTGTTATTTAATTCTCATGTATTCATGAATTTTCCAGTTTTCCTCTTGTTGACTTCTAGTTTCATACCATTGTGGTTAGAGAAGATACTTAGTATGATTTCAGTCTTCTTAAATTTTCTGTGACTTATTCTGTGGCATAATATATGGTCTACTCTAGAAAATGTTCCACATGCACTTGAGAAGAATGTATATTCTGTTGTCACATAGAATGTTCCTCATATGTCTGTTAGGTTCATTTGATCTATAGGGCTGTTCAAATTTGTTTCTCAATTCTCTGGATGATCTACTTATTGTTGAGAGTGGGATATTAAAGTCCCCAACAATTATAGTATTGCTGTTAATTTCTCCTTTTAGCTTTGTTGGTTTTTGCTTTATGTATTTCGGTGCTCTGATGTTGGGAACATAAATATTTACGATTCTTATATTGCCGTATTGACACCTTTACATTATAAAACCTTTATCTTTTAATTTTAGTTTAAAGTCTATTTTGTTTGATATAAGAATAGCTATCCCTGACAGCCCCCGCCACACACACACACACTTTCTTTTACCATTTGCTTGAAATATCTTTTTCTATTTCTTCACTGTCAGCCTATGTGTGTCTTTAAGGCTAAAGTGAGTCTCTTGTAGGCAGCATATCACTGGATTTTGTTTATTTCAATTCAGCCATTCTATGTCTTTCGGTTGAGGAATTTAATCTGTTGATTTTTAGTTATTGAAAAGTAAGGACTGGTTATTGCCATTTGGTTAATTTGTTGTTTGGTAGAGCATTGTTCTTTCTTATCCTGCTGTCTTTTTTTGTGGTTTGATGTCTTGTATCGGTATGCTTTGACTTTATCATGGTCTTTTTTTGTGTAATCACTTCAGGTATTTCCCTTGTTACTCTGAGGCTTACATAAAATATCTTAAAATTATAACATCCTGTTTTAATAACAACTTAAATAGAACTCCAGAACTTCATATGTCTCCTCCCTTTCACATTTTAGGTTATTGATATTATAATTTACAAAATTTTTATATTTTATAACTAATAACAGATTGTTGTAGTTATAGTTATTTTTACTATGCTTGTTTTTAAAATTAAACTAGAGTTAGTGAATTATGCACCACCACTACCATATTACAGAATACAACTTTGACTATATATTTACCATTATCAGTGAGTTTTACACTTCTCTCTTATGATTTTATTATGTTAATTAGCATCCTTTAATTTCCACTAAAAGAACTCCATTTAGCATTTCTTGTAAGGCAGATCTAGTGGTGATGAAGTACCTCAGCTTTTGTTTGTTCAGGAAAATCTTTGTGCTGCCTTCATTTCTGAAGGACAGCTTCACGTCATAGTATCCTTGGTTGACAATTTTTTTCCCAACATTAAGAATGTTAGCCCATTCTCTTCTGGACTGAAACGTTTCTATTGAGAAATCTGCTAATAATCCTACGGGGGTTCCCTTGTATGTAACTTATCTTTTCTCCTGGTGCTCTAAAAATTCTTTCTTTGCCTTTGACTTTTGATAATTATAATGTGTCCCAGTATAGCCCTTTTTGGGTTCAACCTATTTGGGTTCCTTTGGGTCTCGGATCTGGATGTCTATTTCTCTCCTCAGAGTTGGAAACTTTTTAGCCATTATTGTTTTAAATATACTTTGTCCATTTCTCTCTCTCTGCTCCTTATGAAATTCCCATAATGCAAATGTTGTTTCTTTTCATTGTGTCTCATAAGTCTCATAGGCTTTCTTCACTCTTTTTCTTTTTTCTTTTTGCTACTCTGACTGAATAATTTCAATTGTCCTACCTTCCAGGTCACTGATTCTTCTGCATGGTCTGGTTTTGAAGCTCTCTATTGAATCCTTCAGTTTGGTTATTGTATTTTTCAGCTCTAGGATTTTTTTCCCAATGGTTTCTATTTCTTTGTTGAACCTCATTTTGTTCATACATTGTTTTCCTAATTTCATTTAGTTTTCTGTGTGTTCTTGTAGTTCACTAAACTTCCTTAAGAGCATTATTCTGAATGCTTTAATAGTTTATAGATCTTCATATTTTTTTAGAGTCAGTTATTAAAGCTTTATTTGTTTCCTTTGGCGTTGTCATATTTAGCTGGTTTTTTATGAGCCTTGATTCCTTACATTGGTATCTGTGCATTTGAGTAAGTGATCTCCTCTTCTTTGGCAAGTTCACTTTGGTAAAGACAGTTTTTCCCAGTCAGCTTCAGCTCAGTTTGAGTTTCTGGACTTGTCTGCTAGTAACATCCTTGGGCAGGTGGAGTCTGTTGTTATGGCCTGTTTTTAGGTGAGGCAACTGTTTGAGGTCTGAAGTCAGGGGTTAGGGGCATGTCACTGGCTGAGAATAGCTGGATAGGACTGCTGGCTTGGTTCCCTGCCCAAGTGAGGCTATAGAATGGGCTTTACAGTTACCTGGATTCTCTGTTAGGTTTACTAGATGGTTTGGACTGGGTACCATGCTCCAGTAAGTGGGGTTATGAATTAGTTTCCCTGCCTTGGCTGGGCATCAAGAAGAGACCCGCAGATTTCTCGGCTCTTTGTTAGGGACCTGAATTGGGCAAGAGTGTGCAGTAAATATCCTGGTCAGGTGAGACCACCAGTTTGGCTCTGAAGACAGGAAAAGCCACGGGGTGTGCTTTATGTTCAAATTCCACTGTAATCAGGGCAGCTGGATAGGGTATCAGCTTCCTGGGTGCTCAGGTAAGGTTTCCTGGTCAGGCAAGCTAAAGGTTGTATCCAGCAATAGAAGGCTATGAATTAGTTTCCCTTACCAGGCACAGTGGGAGTAGCAGCTCAAAGGCCACTAATGCTGGTTGTGGTCTTGACTCAAGCTGACCTGTCTCAAGTTCTCTGGCCAAACAAGGCCACTGGCTTTGCTCTGGAGGCATCTGCTTTGTTTGCCCTCCTCTCAACTTGAGAGGTGCTGGGTTACATAGCTTCTAAGTATTCTCACCATCTCTTCCTGTCACGTGGGTTTGGGGGCCATGCTCTGCAGTGGGTGAGGCTATATTTCTGGTTCCCGACTGGGTGGGACTAGTAGTTCAGTTAACTCCCAGATATTCTCCAAAGAGACTTTCTGATTGGGAGGGGCCAGAAGTCATATCTACAGCGGGTGGGGCTATGGATCAGCTCTTCTTTCGTGAGTGTAGTCAGCCCAGGCTCTAGGTCCGATAGAACTCCTCATTTGGGGAACCAAATTAGGCAGAACTACACCCCACCAAATTCCCCAGACTGTGCCACTGTCCTGGCTCTACAGATGAGCGAAGCCACTGGTTGAGATTACTACTTGGGCTCTGCAGGTAGGAACTCAGTCTGCCAAGACTAAAGTACTGATTGTTAGAAGCCTCTCCTCACTTCTTTGTCTCAATCAGACTCCCAGTGGTGGAGCCCTGTAGATTCCCCTGTGAGCCCCATGGGGGCGAAACCAAAGTAGGGACTCCCACAAAGCAACCCACAATGCTAGAGGTGGCTGGATGTCACCCCTGGGCTCTTTCCCCGAAGGAAACATAGGCTTAGGTGAGACATTGGCATGGTGTCGCACCTGCCAGAAGGAACAATGCAGTCAGCATGTAGCCATTCTTCCTACCCTTCTAATGCTGTCTATCTTGGTCTTTGTGGTGCAGGGGGGTGTCTCAGCCTCACTCCCTGTTCTAGGATTCTCTCAGGTATGTCTGGTCCACAAATAGTTGTTCTAGTAAGGGGGAGCAAAGTCAGGAATACGCATGTTGCCATCTTGGTGGTATCACTCCATTTTTGTTACTTCTTGAATAATCATTTAAGGGAAAAATCCCTGAAAATGGGAGGCCTCCTAATGATAGTACAATAGTGAGAATAAATATAGCAGTTAAGGTGTTTTATTTCATATGTAAGAAAGTATTATGGATGAATTATATATAAATAATTGTAGTGTTATGATATAAATCAGTTTGGAATTATTATAGTTGGATTATAAATTAGTTGTTATTCAATCTATGTGAGCAATTGATGAGTAGGCTATGATTTTTTGTAGCTGGGTCTGGTTGAGTCCTCCCCCATTCTCCTACTATGATCGATAAAGTAGATATAATTAGTAGCCTTTTTAGATTAAGGGATGATGAAATTTGATATAAAATTGATAGTGGTGCAAGTTTGTCATGTTGATAAAATTAGGCCAGATGTTAGTGGAATACCTTGTGTAACTTTGGGACTTAAAGGTAGACTGGGAAAAGTCCAAGTTTTATGACAAGGGCCATTTTTATGATAATGGATGCTGTTGGACTAAACTTTTTTCTTATTGTTCATTGCCCAGGATATATTGGATTAACAATGGTAGCTATTATAAAAAGTATAGGTATGGTGACTTGTGTCAAAAAATATTTAGTGAATGCTTCCATGGCTCATGGGTTGAATTTTTTTAATTAAAACTGGAATAATAGCTAATACATTTATTTCAAAGCTGATTCAGATTATTAAATCACTCTGAGCTTATAACATAGTTGCCGAAGTGATAGTAATACAATATTAAAAATAAGAGGATTTATTGGTACAGAAAGAATATAAACCAACATTTTTGGGTATGGGCCTGATAGCTTATTTAGCTGACCTTACTATAGAATATGATGCAACATGGTAGCACAGAGATTTTTTTTTAATTCTTAGGAGTAGGTTCAATCCCTATAATTTTAGAAATAAGAGGATTTGAACATGTGTAATTTACTCTATCAAAGTAATACTTTTCAGACATATTATGTTTGTTGTGAGATACAATGATATAATAGTAAGTAATGATATATGTCATGCAAAGGGCTAGTGTTAATGGTAGGAAATTTTTTCATAGATGTATAAGTTGGTCATA